TTTTTTTTTTTTTGAACAAAATGACTAAATTCAAATTGTTCCATCTTCAGATTGACGTAGTGGCTATCAAGACTCTGAAACCAGGTAGTAGTGCTAAAGCAAAAGCTGATTTCTTGTTGGAAGCGTCGATCATGGGACAATTTGCACATCCAAATGTGATTCGATTGATTGGAGTGGTTACTCGATCTGAACCGGCAATGATTGGTTAGTTTATTTTTTTAAATTGGTGTTCATTTAAAAAAATCTGTTGACTTTTTAAAGAATTCTGTTGACTTGTGAGTGGCATGCGGCTGCACTTCAAGTTTGGTTATTTGAATGAAATGTCCACGGCTTTTTTCAGTGACGGAATACATGTCGAATGGATCATTGGACCATTTACTTCGTGGGAAAGACGCCCGTGGAGAAGAAATGGGTTGGCCACGCTTGGTCGATATGATGAGAGGAATAGCGTCTGGAATGAAGTACTTGACGGATAAAGGATATGTGCACAGGGTGAGCTTCATTAGGTGTTTGATAATCTAGAAAGTAATGTCTTCGACTGGAAATTGAAGGAAAAAAGGATAAATACCAAGTATCATTCATTCCTCAGTTGTTCTGGAGTGCGACATTGTGCTGATGCCCTTTTTCTTCCATTTTTCTCGGCCTATATTAGAAAGTCGTCATCAGAGTATAACCGTTGCTGAAAAAAATATTTTTGTAGGACCTGGCTGCTCGTAACGTACTAGTAGACTCGGAGCTGACCTGTAAAATAGCTGACTTCGGGCTGTCACGAGGCGTGGATGACTCTGCCGAGCAGGAATACACCACAAATGGTGGAAAGGTGAGTGTAGATTTTCAGTAGATTGACACCAAAATGGTGCACTATAAGGCTTCAGTAGCATATGCTTCTTACTTTCCAGATACCTGTTCGCTGGACGTCGCCTGAAGCCATAACTCACCGAAAGTTCACAGCGGCATCTGACGTGTGGAGCTTTGGCGTGCTTGTGTGGGAGGTGTGCTCGTTTGGGGAAAGGCCGTACTGGGATTGGACAAATCAGAAGGTAGGTCTCATTACTATTTCAATACCTTATCTGAATAGCTGCTCAAAGTTGTCGTTCCAGGTTATTAGCGAGATAATGCTTGGCTACCGTTTACCAGCCCCAATGGACTGCCCGGCAGCCCTACATCGCCTGATGTTGTGGTGCTGGCGACTTGATCGGCATGAACGACCCACGTTCGCCCAGATACTAGCGATCTTGGAGAAATACGTTAGGAACCCGGATTTGATTTACGTAGACACCGCTGCATTTACTTCTGGACGGCTCGCGACTTCTACTGCCAAGTAAGTATTTTTATTAATCGAAATTGAAGTTCTTCTTTATTTCGGTTCATACTCCAATTATTTTAGTATCAATGGCAACGCGTTTGGCCATCCAACCGGCTCGCCAGGTGGTCCGATGATTCCCAATATCCACCCGTCATCGTTACCTACATTAGCCGATTTCTTGCGATCGTTGAATTTGAGCCATTGTACTGAGAAACTCAACAAAGAGGGCATCTTCACAGTCACCGATCTAGCACGACGAAGTCATCTGGATATGTTGGCCATGGGTAAGTTTATAGTCAATTTCCTACACTATAGGTAGGCTAAGGAACCACCCTATCATGACGCGCGCGTCTGCGGCGCTGTCGTTTCCGGCAATGATATCAGTGCAATTGTACGTGGGCTGTTTTTTTGGCGAACTGTCCTACCTTGCCACCTAACAAGCATGATTTTTCTGATTAGATTTTTTGTACGCCACTCGGAACTTTCGGGTTTTTCTTCGATCGATGCTCTGAAAATCTGTATTACAGGTCTGATATCGGAAGAATTCCAACGAATTCGCAGCGCATTATCCCAACTACAAGACAGTCGAGGTATGTTCCGAGCAGTTGAAACGACGACAACGTTGCCATTGCGATCGGCGACCATCCGACCGTCCAGGCATGATGACGGATTCTTCGTCTGAATGCGCTCTGTACTTTGCCAAAACGTACGTACCCTACGTGCTGTCCAAAGTTGTACAATGTTTCCGATGAGTCTTAATTCCCGATGTGCAGGTATTTTCCAATTATTTTTCCATTCGTGCGTTCCTGTCCCATGATCCCGGCTGATGTATTTTTAACATCTTCTCTTTGTAAATTCTACTACATTGATTATGTTTCTCATTTACGTGAATATGGCTTTAAATAGGGGGTTGTTTGTGGACGACCCGAAATTCATACATTCATAGCACTCATTGTAATTCGGTTCACTTGACTAAATTACGCAGTATTTTTGTAAAAACTGCATTTCTTCTTGAGAAAGCATTTTGACAAACAAACTTGGCTGTTTACGGATTTCCGTTGCGAGGGGATGGTAGATAATTCGTCTTTGATGCACAGGGTAATGTTAGGCTGCGGGCATATTTCAAATGGACTCGGACAAGGCAAATTTGTCCTCCTGTCCTTCCACTGCGAATTTCTCCCAAGAACTTGGGTGTATAGGAACGTGTTGTGTACCTCCTCACTATTTCCATCAAGCGGCTCTTGTTTTCTGTACTGATGTATGCCCGACCTCGCGTGGAACCAGCCATGAACAAGTTTCCTATCTGCTCTGTATCTTCAGCGATGCAAAGCTACCATAACGCTGAACAACGGAATTCTGTAAACAGCTTTAATCTCAATTTGTTGTCATGTTGTTACGGCTAATCTGGGCTAACAAATAATCGTTGCTGAATCTACTGGTCGTTTTTGTTTTGTCTCTGTTTATTTTTACACGTTTTCCCTATGTAAAAAGCTTGCTTCTCTACTCGAATGCATAGTTGTCCCCTCATGGCGATGTAAATTCTCATTTAGTATTTTTTGCTCAAATCGAGTCGATACGTTAGATGAAATACTGACGAGTGCCTCCACGCTACTGATCGTTCGGCTTTTGCTTTCGTTTCTCCCCAGTCAGTCAGACTTGCTCTTCCCGGAGTTTAAGGCTCCAAAAAAGAATGATGAGGCTCATAGTAGCGGCTGAACTGGTCGTTCTAGGCCATATTTAACTATATTCGCTAATGTATTGGAGCCCTCACTATCTCGTTCTGTGATAGATTGTCGAATGTGGGGACGTGGACGAGTTGTAGGGTGATGATGGCCAGAGTACCTCAATCGATCAAGTCACCGAGCATCTCGTCCGCGTGTCACACTGATCTTGGCCACGCCGAGGTTAACTATTCTCCCAGAGCCTTTTCTTTGTTAATATTAAAACAGATGCATATATGTTGTGAATATTACTATTGTTTTTTTGTCTTCGTTAATAAACGTTTTTATAAATTCTGTCTTTAGTCTTAATCAACTGGACGACCGCATGGCTACTTTTTACACCGTGGTAGATACGAATCCCCTTTCTAAGGCAAATCCGGTGAGAGTTTCCGGGCTGCCTAATTAGGAAAATTCGAAGTTTGATACCGTAAAAAGGGAAATTTACGGCATATTACTTGGGAACTAATTAGTAGTGCACGGCATTGCACGATAGAGGAAACCACATAAATAACAGTAGTCAACAGGCGCGTCAGTGCAAAGATGTCTCGGCAGTGCATATGGTAAAGAGTCTCGTAGTCTCGCAAGGAAAAAACAGGTACGGTTTGAATCTCGTTCGATGCCCAAGTTTTGTAAATGACTCTTCAATTGTATGACGCTTTTGCAACACATAGTGAGGAGAATCAACAACAGTCGAAGCGAACACTGACTCAACACTGTATCTCGATAGTGCAAGTGGTAAAGAGCACGACGCATGGGAACCGCATGAAAATTTCGAAGAGATTTCATACAAAAAACATGTCATATGCATCGCTTTTAGATTCAGCTCGTCGAGCGGATTCGGAAACTGATAAATATGAGGCATTTT